CATGCCCCAGGTGTCCATCTAGGCCACCAGCCTCACACTAGCAGCAAGCAGCAGGGCAGTAGCCTCATGGTTACATAGTGGGGAGTTCTGTGGCAGAAAGCCAGCCCTGTTCCCCACTGGTTGCTTGCTTAGGCGGTGAAGGTCGGAGCACCAGGGATCCCTGCTTATCCCGTTATCTTCCAGACAAACCCAAACTGGGTCCTGAGTCCCTGACACACTCACACATTTAGCAGCCAAGGCTGCACCGTGCACCATAGAGCCCTCCCCATGGGGTCCCATGGAGCGGTGAATACAGCCCAGGCATGGGGCAGTCCCAGGGGTGCTGGAGATGAGGGGGCCCAAGTCACACACAGGGAACCCCACGACTACTAGAGGTGCAGGGGACAGGACAGGAGCACAGTACAGTGTGGCAAATCCCCATGGTAGATCTGCATCTCGATGTAGATCCCTGTGGGCTGGTGGAAAGATAGTCCTCTTGGGGCTGGGGTACTCCTGAGCAGAGCCCTTCCCAAGTGCTGGCATGCCAGCCCCCACCCTGCTAGCCCTCATCCAGCTTAGTGAAAACAGCCCCTGGGGTGGAAACATCCTTCCACAGGACATGGGAGACCTTTGAGACACCTGGAGCAACATCATGGGTGGCACAGGGTAACCCTATCACCACCACAGGGTGGACTCTGCCCTCTGCAGTGCATGCTGTCAGGGAAATCCTGATAAGGTGCGATAAGCCTCCACTGCTGAACCCTATCCATCAGCTCCTGGTGTCCCTGGGTTAGGGCTCACGAGGCTCCACAAACTGCCCCTCCCAACCCCCTGGCCTAGAGAACTCCAGAAGTGCAGAGCATCAGCCTGGACACGGACGTGACTGACCCCAGGCTGCCCCTGGACAGAAAAGCCATACCAGTGGAATCATAGTGGTCCTTCCTTCTTTGCTTCCATCCTTCCATCCTTCCTTTTGTCATTTTCTTTCCAGCCCCTTCTCAGCTCCCTTTTGGCAGAGAGAGGTGCAGCTGGACTCTGGGATACAGCAGTGATGCAGTGAGATGGGGATTTCCAGACCCACTGGCCATGCTGAGATCTGTCCCACACCCCAGCTACCCTCCTGGGGTATTTCCAGGGGAGAGAGATCCCAGTTCCCAGGTGCATATTGTACAGCATAGGTTGGGCCAGCAGTTGGAAAGCAGCTCTGCAGGGATGGACCTTGGGATCCTGCTGGGCACCAGCTGAGCAGGAGCCAGGAATGTGTCCTCAAGGCAGCAGCCCCAGCTGCACTAGGCTGAGCCGGGCACTGAGCACCAGCAGGAGGCTGTGCTGTTCCAGCTGGGATCACCCAGACAAGGTACAGACGTGCTAGGGTGAGTCTAGCCGTAGTGGAAGAACTGGAACACCTGTCCTGTGGCTACTAAGTCTGGAGCAGAAGAAGTTTGGGGAATCCTGTTAACACACAGGCAGGGAGGGTGCAAAGAGACCACAATTCATCTCTTTCCAGTGGTGCCCAGTGCCAGGATAAAGTGCAATGAGCACAAACTGGGACATGGGAGGTTCCTTTGAACATCAGGAAACAACTTTGTATTGTGAAGGTCAGGCAGTAGCAGTGGGTGCCCAGGGAAGCTGTGGAGGCTCCATCCTCAAGCCTCGAGCAGCCTTGGGCCATGGGCACCTTCCACAGGAGCCGGGCAGGACAGTGGTCTGTGTCTTGACTGCATCAGCGCCTGTGGGTAGGGGCATGCTTACAGCCCACGTGGGTGCGTGCAACTGGGCACCCACAGCACACGGGCACACGCACAATGTGCACATGTACACGTGTGCACAACGTGAGTGTGCAGACACCTGTACACACACCTGTGCCCAGTCACGCACGCGAGGGCACATGCATGGGTGCCAAGGAGAGTGTGCATGGGGTGGGGGTGCCTGTAGCAGGGGCTGCGTGGGATGGGGGCCAACGGGACGGGAGAGTTCCCTAGACGGGGGGGGTGCGCCCGCGACTGGGGGGGGACGTGCCCGCCGTCGGGGCTGCCTGCGATGGGAGGGGTGCCGGCGATGAGGGGTGCCCGGGGTCGGGGGGTGCCGGCGATGAGGCGGTGGCACCGCGACCGCTCCCACCGCCCTTCCCCGGGGCGGGGCGGGACCTGCTCGGCGCGGGCCAATCAGCGCCGTGCCCGCCCCGCGCGAGGGTTTAAAGCAGGGCGCGGGGGGGGGGGGGGCGGCGCGTGGGATGTGGTCGCGCGTGGCTGCAGTTTGCGCCGCGCTGTGCGCATGTGCGCACGCCTGGCCCAGCGGGGCCGTGTGCGCGCGGGAGGCGGCGGACGCGGGCGGTGCGCGCTACGTGGCGTTCCTGGGCACCGGCACTGGGCCCGGGCCCGCGCTGGTCGAGAGCGCCTGGGCCGCCCCCGGCCGCCTCCGCGCCTGCTGGGCCCGCCGTGACCCGCGTCTCACCCGCGCCTTCCGCGCCGCTTGCGCGCGCCGTCCGCCCGCCGCGCCCGGGGCCGCGCTGCGCCGGGCCCTGTCCGCTCTGTGGCGGCGCCGCGCCGCCTGCACCGACCCCGTAAAGGTGGGAGAGCAACGCCAACGCCACCGCCGGGGCTGGACGCTGCCAGGCACGTTGTGGTGCGGCGCCGGGGACTCGGCAGGGAACTGGAGCGACCTGGGTACGGGGCGGCGGGGGGCGGCGCGGGCGCCCGGGCTGCCTCCGCCGGGCCGCGCTCACCGGCGCCTCCTCAGGGCTGTTCCGCGGCCCTGATCAGTGCTGCCGGGAGCACGACCAGTGCTGGGCGCAGATCACGGCGCTGCAGTTCAACTACGGCATCCGCAACTACCGCCTTCACACCGTGTCCCACTGCGACTGCGACGCCAGGTGCGCCCAGGGCCAGGGGAGGTGCACCGGGAGGGCTGGGGACAACAGCCCTGCTCACCGGTCCCTGCCTGCAGGTTCCGGCAGTGCCTGCTCGCCGTCAACGACACCGTCTCCAACATCATCGGCGTCACCTTCTTCAACCTGCTGGAGGTGCCGTGCTTCGTGCTGGAAGAAAGCGAGGAGTGCGTCCAGTGGCACTGGTGGGGCGGGTGAGTGCCTAAGGGTGGCCCCGCTCTCAGTGCGCCCTGCCGGGCATGGCTTGGCTGGGCTGGTGTGCAGGGCGTCACAGCATGTGGTGTCCCCAGGTGTGAGCGTTACGGTGTAGTGCCCCTGGCCAGGATGCTGCAGCAGAGTCAGTACCACCCTATCCTGCCCCCAGAGGAAAGAAGCAGCTCTGCTGCACAGCCCCCGGGTAAGGGAAGGAATTCCTCCAGAGCAGGGCACAAGCGGCTCCGACAGGAACTGGGGCCAAAGCCGGGGCGCCGCCAGGCACGGAAACCTGAGACAGCCCAGCAGGGCCCACATATCCTTGCATTGGCCAGGGACAAGGCTGAGCCCGCAGCCAGGCACCAAGCTGTGCAACAAGGACTGAAGCCTGGCCCCCCAACAGCACTGATCACATTGGGACTGGATCCAGCTGGAGCAAGGAGCACAGTGGGAGGAGCAGAGCAAGGAGCTGGGGGCTCGGCCTGTCCTTGGGATGGCAGCGAGAGACCCAGCCCGACCACAGCATGGAGTGGGCCCACCCCAGTGCCTGCTGTGGAGGAGCATGGGCAGCAGGGTGAGCTGGTGCCATGGGCAGAGCATGCACCACAGCTGGGGTGTCTCAAGGCCTCAGCCTAGTGGGGGCATGTGCTGGGGGTGACTTTCACCTCCCCACTGTCCTCAGGCCCAGGCAGGGTGTGCAGGTGCTACAAGCACCTAGGTAAGTGTGAGCACCAGATCGCACCCCACGAGGTGAGGTACCAGCTGCACAACGTGAACAGCCAGACACTCCTCCACTGCAACTGCACCCGCAGGTGTGTGTCCAGGAGGAAAAGGGCACTGGGTGCAGACAGAGGAGGTGGGATGTCTGCCCTGGCCAGCCTCTGCTAACCACGGCCCTCCTGTGCCTGCAGGCTGGCGCAGTGCCTGCGCAGAGTGAGGAACTGCAGTGACATGGAGGTAGCTGCCCTGGCTAACCACATTGCCACAGAATGCTTTGTTCTGGAGCAGCTTGCTGCCTGCAGCCCAGGCAGGGGGGCACAGGACAGGTAAGTGCAGAGAATCAAGGAGCTGTGGCCTGAGTGGGGCATTAAGCGAGGAGCGTAAGTACTGGCCCCTGCTGTGCCATGCCATGAGCAGGCTGCAAGAGCAGGTAGTGGCTGTCAGTGCTGCAGGGTTACACCGACATGGCCAGCTTTCCTTCTCCAGCAGCTGTACCACAGTGACCAGGGCTGCGCTTTTACCTGCAAAGCAGCTCAAAAAGACCCTGAGGCATTGGGACCCTCTTCATGTGAGCTCCAAGACCAAGCATCCAGACTGGAAGACACAGGCCCAGGGAGGCACCCGCTGTGAGCAGCGCCAGCACCTGGCCATGAAGCAGATGCCAGGTGCTCAGCCCCACACAGTGCCCCGATGATGCCTGAGCAGTGCTGCCTTGGGAAGGAAGGGGAGGAAGATGTGCTGTGCAGTAGTTGCAGGCTGGAGCTGCTTGGTTTCTGGTCCTTGAGACAAAGGATAGCACTGAGCATGACTGCATGGAACTGGGGACCACAGCCAGAGCAGGCAGAGGGACTGAGAAGACTCAAGGAGCTGTGGCTGCCATCCACCAGCATCAAAGCAAGGGGAAGGAAATAGGAGGGCTCAGGAAAGGGGAAACCCATCCTCTTCCCTGTTGCACTCTGGGGCCAGGGGGATGGCAGGGCCCCACACCCCTATAATTGTGACCCTTCAACTGGGGAGCCTGAGCAGTGAGGTGTGATCCTGACCCTCTTGCCCAGGCACAGTAGGAGGGCTGGGGTCAGTCCCTGCATGCAGCAGAAGATAAATAAAGAATGGTCAGAGTATGGTATATGGTGCCAGGGCTGAACCTTCTGCTCCCTGTTCATGCTGCAGCCTTTCCCCACCCAGGGCTGATCCTGCCCTCTGGCAGTGACCACAGTGCAGCTGGGGTGGGCAGGATCGTTTATTTTGTTGCTTGCACTATGTCCAGGCTGAGGCACAGTGGTAGAGCAGGGAAGGAGCAAGCTTTAATCTCTGGTTTACCTTGGGACGGTCTTCACTCTGTGTCCATCACCATTCTTGCCAGAGCCCTGCCTTGGCCTCCCCTGCCACGCTGGGTGCAAGGCCAGCACTCCTGTCATGAGACTGAAGAATCCTGCACTTGGAAGTTCATGAAGGGTCTCCCCAAACTGCATTAGACCAGCTTTCCCCACTCTCCCCTGGGTCATCTCCCAGCCCTGCCCTGGGGAGCAGCTTGGGCTGAGGGGAGCAGAGGGGAATACCCCTCCTGCCAGGCACACAACAGGGGTGAGGAGTCACTGCAATAAATAAGGGAGGAGTTGTCTTAGCAGGAAAGTGGCAGAGGAAAGCACACAGCGAGCGCGCTAGGGGGAGGAGGGAAGAGGCCGCTGCATCAGCGGCCCATGGCACAGCTATGGCTGTCCAGTTCCTGGGGGCTGCAGCCCTCTTTTGGGGAGGTGCCACAGCCTGGGGGACTGGTGGGGCTCATCCTCCGGCAGGGATAATAGCCCTGATCCACATTCTCTTGCTGCCAGCCCATGGCCTTGTCAATCATCTCCAGGCGGAGTGCAGGCAGCAGGCCCAGGTTCCGGGGGTCAGCCCTGGCCAGTGGGCTGTCAGTGGAGACACGCTGTGGGTGACCCTGCTCCTGTACAGTCTGGTAGAAAGAGCTGCCCTCCAGGCTGTCAGCTGCCTGCCTCAGCTCCTTGCCTTTGGCTGCACAGCATCCCAGCTCCTCGTGGGGTACGTGGATGGTGGGGATATTCCTGGGGAGGCCATGGCGGCTCTGGGGAGAGGGGCTGCGGCTCGTTCCCCTGTCCCGGCTTGATGGCCGCAGGATGAGGCCCTGGAATTTGGCCAGGCTGGGGCTTCGGCTCCGGTGCCGTTTCATCTTGCCTGGGCTGGGGCTACGGGATTTGGGGGCCAACAGGACAAGTGTACTGTCATCCTCTTCTGAGCTGCTGCCTGAGCTGTCCGTGGGGCTGCTGCCCTCCTCTGACCTGGGGAGGGAGATCTGCACCCCTGCATCAGCACTGCTGGCTGACCCTCCCGAGGGGCTGTGGGGTATCACAGCAGTTGGCCTCCCTCGGCCAGGAACCCCCACCCCCTCACCCGCATCTCTTGCCTGTGCTCACCTGGAAGGGCTCAGTCACACCAGCAATGCTGCTGGAAGTGTTGCTGTAGTATCCAAGGATGTACTCGCCGTTCCCCTTGGGCAGCGCTTCCTCAGAGAACATCACCTGCAGCCCAGAGACACCTGGTGGACACTAGAGCTGGGCACGGGGGTGCCCCTTCCCACCTCCAGCCCCAGCCAAAAGCACAAATCTTTGCTGCCTGAGGCTCAGCACAAAGCAATAAGGTGCTCTCCACCCCCATCCAGGGGCACGAAGAGGCCCTTGTTCCCCCACAGTGGGGCAGATGTGCCAGCAGGGCTGGCTGCAGCTCACCTGTGCACAGAGCTGCTTCTCCAGGCAGCGCTCCCCATCATCGCTCCTGGCCCAGACATAAGACACATAGTCTTTAGGGTGCCGGAAGCCTACCTGTGTTATATAGGAGAACATAGGTGAGTGGGGGAACATCAGCCCCACTTGGCACCATCATCCATGCCTGGCCTTCACTCTCTGCTTACACAGCGAGACCCAGAGCTGCCTCGCACCCCCCGGGTGTACCAGGGCCCTGTGGGGCCTGCAGAACAGGGAGTAAGAGGGAACTGCTGGACCTGAGCCTCCTGAAGCAGGGCCACATCATGCTGCCAGGGGAAGGGAGGGCACAGCTCCATGCCATGCACCCATGTTGGGGGGTAGCTCAGAAGGGACCCCCGCAGTGCTGTGCAGTGCTCCCCACTCCCTCCAGCCCCAGCAGCCCCCAAGCCCCTACCCGGTAGAGTCCTATCCAGTCCCAGGAGCTCCGGTGGAAGCCAACAGCCATCTTGTACCTGACAACTGCTTGCTCAGGCCTGCTCCATTCGTCAGCCACATAAATCTCAACCGGGGGCTTGTCCACCTTGGAAGCAAACTGTCAGAGACAGGTACATAGTAAGCAAGGTCATGGCAAAGAGCTGCCCCTGTTGCCCAGTGGCACCTCTCTGGGTCTGGGCCCCTGTGCATACACCCACAGCAGTCCCCAGCCAGGGGCAAGGCAGCCGAGTCTGCCAAAGAGAGGTAAAGCTCCCCCCACACAAGCTGGGCATCCCACCCCTGCAGATCCTGCCTGTGTTCCCAGCAGCCCTGGACAGTGCTCACCTGCACAGCAAAGATGGCAGCTACTGGCTTGTGGTCGCTGACAGTGTACTCCATGTGGCTGCAGTAGCAGAGCTGGCTCACCGACAGCACGCCCTGGCTGGGCAGGTGCTTGCCTGCCCCCAGCCCTGTGCTGGGAGATTTAATCTTCCACAGGATGCGGTCAGTCCAGGCAGGTTTTCGCTTCTTGGCACTACAGGGCACAGAGGGGCATCTCTTGCCTGGCAGGGGCAGTGGGCTCTGACCCAAACTGCCTCCCCCTGGCTCTACAGCATGTGTGGGCAGGGGGTGCAGCTCATCTCACCACTCAGCTCGATGTGGCTGCAGGGTGAGATGCACTGGCACCAGCACTGCAGTTGTGTCCCAGTCCAGCCCATGCCTGCCTCAGCACGACTGCTCCCCCCACCCATCCGCACAAGCATCCACTCTGGTCCTGAGCCTCACTGCTCCTCCATCCCTCTCTCCCAGCTCAGGCCCAGCTCTGCTCTCCTACCTGCTGTCGTACTGGTTGGTGCCAACATCAAACTTAAAGGTGGGTGGGAAGTTCAGGGGTCCCTCTTGAAACCCTCTGAGAACAGGCCAGGTGCTTTTGGCAATGTTCAGCTGTGGGGAAGAAGAGGTAAAGAAGCACACCAGCCCCCACAGCCAGACCAAGATTTCTCTGCTCTCACACACAGTCACATCCCTGCCCCATTCCTGCCAGCTCCCACAGCTCTCAGGGTTTGTCCCTCTATGCCAGCAGCCAGTTTGTAGACCCAGTGCCTTGGGTCTTCCTCACACTGATAAGGGGAGCATGTGCCCAGCTCAGTCTGACCAGGGACTCTGCTGCCCCTTCCCCACAGAGACAAGAGAGCCAGAGCTCCTCATACCTATGGGCTGCAAGGGAACATGTCCTGTCCCACAACTGCACAGGCAGTTTTGGGGAGAGTCAAACACTGCTCAGGGCCCAGTGGAATCTGGAATCTGGAACATGCCCATCCCTCACCTGGTCCTTCTCCCAGAGCTGGCTCAGAACGTTGCTGTCGATGGCATACTTCACAAAGCAGATGTCCAGACTCTCGATGCGGAAATTAAGGTCCCCAAACCAGAACACGAGGCTGTCGGAGGGAGGGCAACAGTCTGAAAGGGCTGAGGCTACTGGAGCTGGGGACAGCAGGGGAAAAAATGTCCCCAGCCTGCGTGCAGCCTCAGCTCACAGCACAGGTGCTCTTGGGAGCACTGGCACAGGTCAGCACTCAGCCAGCAGCCTGGCCAGCTGCCAGGATTCTGCAAGGTGGGACTAGGCACCATTAACCAAGCCAGACAGACTGCCCTGAGCTGAAACCAAGGGTGGAAATTTCTACAGTGAGGCACCCACCAGAGTCAGACCACAGGCTGTGCAGAGCTGGGCCCTCCACCTCACCAGTCCCAAACCGCAACCAGGCTAGTACAGCAGGAGCTGCACCAGGCCTGAATGTGCCTTATGGGAGACCAAAGACCCCTCTAAACACCTATCCCAGCATGCTGAGTTCCCACTAGGCCATGGGAAAATTCTGCAGTTCTGCAGGCAAGACCTGACCTCCAAGCTGTGCTATGATGCAGAGATCAGACCCTACATGGAGGGGGTCAAGGACTGGGGCTGACACTAGAGCCCAGACTGGGGAGCAAAGTGGCAGGGTACGCACTCATGGTCCAGGATGCCATTGGCCACACGCCCCTCAAACTGCTGCATGTGCAATATGGTGGCAAAGTCCTCCTTGCGCTGCTCCGCCTTCTCCAGGTGTGCTGGCAGGTGGCAGTTCAGGAAGCAGACCATGTGGCCGAAGATGGAGAGACGAACACTCACCCCACCCTTGTTGCCCTGCACCGAGAGGATCCCATGACTCCTTGGGAAGCCAGCCCCTTGCCACCTTCCCCCAGGGCCACACTCACCCAGTAGCCCCCTAGCCCTGTCCTGGTGCAATCTGTCTGGATGTCCTGCAGGAAGGGCAGGTGGTAGTACTTGGCAAACACCAGCAGGATCACACCTTGCATCCGCACTGTGCTGACCTGGAATGGGAACAGGGGCTGGAGCAGGATGGTAGAGAGCCCATAGGGGCCATGAGCCAGCACTTCCATCCTTCGCGTGCCCTCCCCATCCTGCAGGTGACTAATAGCATGTTCAGTTCAGAGATCTGTACACACCCTCCTGAACACTGACAGCCAAGCCTGAGCCTCAGAGATGCTAGGCTTACAGATGCTCTGGGGCGAGTGCCTCCAGGAGCCAAACCTGCCTCTGGGCCCATAGGCTGCTGTCAGCAGCACAGACCAGTTCCCACATTGACCTCCACACCCTGGTTCGATGCAGTGCGCAGTAAGAAGTGGCCCCAAAGCACCAGCAGGGAATCATAAACACAGGAAAAGGAGCAGGGTGGCACAAGCCAGACAGCTCACTGCTGAGGTGCAGCACTGGCCCCCACACACTGTTTGGAGGCTACAGGCTATCTCTCCAGCCAGCTCTCCCACCGCACCTCCCTCTGCCCTGCAGTCCAACTCTTCCTTCCCTGTGGCACACCTGCCTGGCAGGCAGAAGGAACACCAGCTTCCAGCTCCTTTAGGACTCCTTACCAGGATGAAATGGAAGGGACTCAGCACATCCATGAAGAGCTCGCTCCACTGATCTGTGAAGAGGGCATCCTTCAGGCGCTTGTTTATCTTGGAGTTCACCTCCTGCAGCCTGGGAGGAAGGGGATAGGTCCCTCAGCCACACCAGGAAAGTGTCTGTGTCTCAGGTAGTGAGAACTCCTTGGGAGAGTTGCCAAAGCACAGTACTGGGGAGCAGTACGGGGTGGGAAGGGCAGTTCAAGGGAAGACTCTGGGTTTAGAGCACAAACCAGCCACGTCCTTGCTCCAGCGATGCTGGATCACATGCTGGCAGGAGGCACAAGTGGCCCTGAACCCAGGAGGCCTTGGCCCTTTCTAAAGCAGAAGCAGTTCAGCTGCACAGAGCTGGGCAGCAGCCTAAAGCCCATCTCAAGGTGCAAGAGGGGCTTACAGGGCCTTTCAGCTAAATCAGTCTTTATAAAGAAGTCAAGTCTCACCAGCGCAGGGTGTCCAGATGCATTCGAGCCACACAGCTCGGAGCAACAGCAACCAGAAAGTTAGTAGTGCTCCTCCCAGCTCAGCAATTAATGAAAAGAAGGAAGAATGTCCACAGAGAACAGCAAAATCAAGAAGTGTCTTGTCCAAAAATATCAGGTGCTTGGTGCACAAAGACACAGGTCAGAGGAAGGAAACAGCCAGAGATGCCAGGAGGTAAGGACTGCAGGATATCCTACCCTGGACCTAACACGGTCCCAGCACATCCCATGCTGTCAGCTACACCCCTCACCCAGCTCAGGTTCATCTCCACAGCCCACACAATCCCATCCTGCTGGTCCACAAGGCCAAGGGGACCGGGAGATTGGCTCCAACACAGTGTTGTAGCTCTGGCAGCCTTCCACCAAGGCTAGGAGCTCCAGAGCAGTCCCTAGGAGCCTCCTGGAAGCAGATCCAGCTCTCCCATATCACACCTGCAGGCAGAGACTACTTCCTGCTCCCTGTGCAAAGACAGCGCAGCCCTGGCCTTGGCAGGAATCCACACACTACCACAGACCTCAAGAGACCAGTCTGCGCTCAGATGATGGCAAGCTCATCTCACCACAGCACTGCCTTACCAGCAGCTCCATGTACCAGGGGCACGGAGCCAATCCAGCTGTGGGAGAACAGATCTATGCCCTTGAGGCCTATATACCATGCACAAAAGCAGAGAGGAGGAAAACACTCCCAGAGGACTCAGGGTGAGTTAAATGCCTTGACAGACCTGACCCAAAGACTGCCATGGCTTACTTGGCCTGGCACAGCCAGCCTCAGGCTCATTGAGGATTCAAGTCTAATCAGTACTCAAGAGTTTTGTTCCTCTCAGCACTCACATTCTACCAGGAGCTAATTTTTCCATCACCTTTTCTGATACGTTAGCACTTGTGATGCACACACTTCCCTGCTTCCTGGGATACAGGGAGGCTGAGGCTGCAGCTCTCCCATTCCTCATGCACCAGGGCTGTGGGGATCCCCTGAAAAGGGATACAGCAGGGCAGGGGAGGGGGCCCTGCACCTCACTCTCTTACCCAATGGCGATCATGTCCACATCGTTTGTCTCGCCTGTGTTGAGGTGCAGCAGGGATGTCACATCGTTTGGGGGCATGGCTGTGCCCACATTCCAGGTGACCACTGTGATGCTTGGGAGGACAAAGAAAGAACAGGCTAATACTGGAGCTCAGAGGGGTTCTTGTCTTCTGTTCAGCCCCCAGCTTCACCAAGGAAGCTTTTTGCTGGCAACAGAAGTAGCTGAAGCTTAATCAGGGCACATACACCTTAACTCCCATTTGAGGGAGACAGGTCCCTCCTTCCAAATTCCCCCAGGACTTGCACCTGATAATTCTAAAAACCAGCACAAAGAGCCCTCATTTTCATCACCGTTAGCTGCCACAGGCATGCTGGCACAGCAGGCAGCCTTCAAGAAAACTGCTTCCTCTCCCTTCCCCAGGAATCACAGCAGGAGCTCAGGCTCCTAGCAAGAAAGACCCGGATCTCAGTCCTCAGCCCCTGCCAGCCCTAAAAGCCAGGGCAGCACATGTGACAGCGGTTCTGCAGCCCCGCAGTGGTGTCCTTCAGCAGCGCAAAGCCACATCCCTCACAAAACATCAATGCCATTGCGCAACGGGTACCAGCAAAGGGCCCGCGGGCTCATTTGGCAGCAGCCAGGAGTCGTCTCAGTCACAGGGACATGTTTCAACAGGGAGGGAGGGCAGCGCCCAGGCAAGTCCCAGCGCTCGGGGACAGCGGGGGCAGGTAGCCCGCGGCTCTGTTAATGATATCCCCCACGGAGAGCGGCACCACGCATTCTCCCCGCGCGAGACTGCAGTCCCGCACCCCAAATTCTCCAGCTGAATTCTCCACAGTGGGGAGGAGAGGTGCAGCTCCAGCGCACAGCGGGGGACCTCGGCACCGCGTCCCCTGTCCCCGCGATCCCCCCGCGGCCCCGCTCACCGGAACGCGCCGTCCTCCGGGGCCCGTCCCGAGCAGTCCGGCCCTCGATCGCAGCCATCGCCGGAGCCGGGGTGGCCGAGGGGCCGGCCGAGGAGGGGCAGCTCGCCCGGCTCCGCTCGGGGGGCCAAGCCCACCCGCCCGCCGGCGAGGAACTCGCTGGACACGGCCTTGGGCAGCGCGGGGGCGCGGGGCACGGCGGGGCCCGCCCAGGCCGCGATGTGGTCGCTGGACTCCGCCTTGGGTAGCATCTCCCGCCGCTCCGGCGCGGGGAAGGCGGCCCGGCCGACCGCTGTTGGAGACACTGGGCCGCCCGGCGCGGGGGGCAGCAGGGCCGAGAGCGGGAGCCCCTCGGATGGGGTCCGGCCCAGGGGGCGCTCCTCGGGCCCGGCGCGCCGCGGGCAGCCGTGCCCGAAGGAGTCACAGGCGGTGTCCGGCCGGGAGCTCCTACGGGCGACCGGGACACCGCCGCCGAAGAAACGCGCCGCCGAAGCCCCGGCGTCGGGCGGCGGCCGGGCCGCGCTCCCGAGGCCGCGCGGGAGGCCGGACCAGGACTCCGCGCCGACGGCTGAGCCCCGGTCGGCGATGCCGCACTGGGCCGGGTCCATTGGCGGGCGGAGACCGGAGCAGCCCCGGCCCGGCCCCGCGCACCTTGCGGCCCCGCCACGTGACATCACCACCCCATGACGCCAACACCCGCCACCTGCGCGGCACTTTAAAGGCGCAGCGGCAGCCCCGCCCCGCGCACCTGGCGCACCGCCCCCGCACGGGCTGGCCCGAGACGCGCCCCTTCCTTTGCCCCCACCAGCCTGTCTTTACGTCTGCACACCTGTCCCTGCTCACCTCTCCTTACATCTGCACACCTGTCCTTACACCTGCTCACCTGTCTTTGTGTGTGCACAATCGCCTTTGCACGTGGATGACCAGCCTTCCACATGTACTGCAGTCCTGCATGTACACATGTACACACATCCTTTGCGCGTGCACAACAGCCATTGCAAGTGCACACCTGTCCTTGCACACCTGCCCTTGCCTATGCAAGTCTGCCCCTGCTTGCCTATCGGCCTTAGTGCGTTATTGTGTGTGCAGCTGTGCTCACCACGGTGGTTGTTGTGTCAGCATATGCCAGGCGTGCCTGTGGTTTGCTGTGGAGTTTTTGCGACGAGGGGTGCATGCACACCCTTGGGCAGCTGTGAGCGTGTGCGGCTGCTTGTTTGTGGCTGTGTGTGCAAGCTATGTTTGTGACTCTGTGTGTAGCTCTGTGTGTGTGCGGCTCTGTGTGGCTATGTGTGTGTGCAGCTCTACGTGCAGTGGTGTGTGTGGCTGTGTGTGTGAAGCTGTGGGTGCAGCTGTCTGGCTGTATCTATATGTGTCTGGGGCCGGGGGTGCTGTTTTGCCTGTGCACAGCAGTGCCCCTGTGCTTGTCCTAGTTACAAAGGCTGGGACTAGTTTATCACTATGTGGATACAACCAAAACTGTGTATTCTACACCCTTCTGATGGACTGGTAATAAATGGATTGTTTGCAGCAGGTGCCCAGGGCACACCTAACACCTCAGGCTACAAGCTGGGTGTTAAACAAACCAGCAGTGTGGATGCAGCTGGAGTGTTCTTCTATATGCACTTCAATGACTCAGCTGTGATAACTCCCCTCCAGAAAAGCATTAATACCTTTATCCCCAGCCTGAGGGGTCATCTCTGCTAACCTTGGGCTGGCATAATGGGCAGCTGCATCACCCAGCCCGTCAAAGACTCCAAAAATATCCCATGACTCACAGAGTTAAATCACCCATTGTGAAACTCCCTGCCCTGGTGGAGGTACTGGGCATTCCCACCTGAACTTGAGCATACATAACCTTCGGGGTTTGGGACTTCTGGTGCCACTCATTGGATCCAGAGGAGGACCAGAACTCTGACAGAACTGCAGTCATCATCGGGACCAGCAGGTTTTCTTTTACTTTGCACCAAGTGGGAGCCACGTGGTGCTCAGCACCGGGGTTGGCAAACACCGTTCTGTTTTTGTCCCATGGTGCAGGGTTATACATCTGTTTTTGTGGGTTAAAACCAGTTTTTCTCTGTATCATTGCATTTATTGTAATCTTTTTAGTAAATTGTAACTCTGACTTGTAATCTCTCTTAAGTTGGGTTAATTTCTCATGCTGGTTTACTTCCAAACAAGCACAGTGCTCCAGTGCAGCACAGGCACGTATGAACACCTGTGCTCGGGGTGCATACGCACACGTGTGTGAGAGTGTGTGTGTGTGTGTGTGTGCGCGCGCCTAGAGGGAATGGGGGACCAGGTGACATGTCTTGCCCTCAGCTTGTACTTGCCAGCACTCAGGGAAGGCTGGAGCTTGAGGAGGAGGGGGATCTTGGTGAAGTATGGAGTGAGGTAGAGGAGGATCCTGGTAGGAGGGGACAAGGGCCCTGGGTCCCTGTGGGGTTGACTCATAAGCATCAAGGGCGTTGTGGTGAAGGTGGCTCCTGCCATCACAGGAACACTGTGATCAATGGTGACAAATGGGACAGGACCGAGGAGAGCCAATGTCACTGCTGGCTTCTGGAGGGGTGTAAAGAGGGATCCAGAGACCCAAGAGTGATCTGCCTCACCTCCATCCTGGGAAAGTGACAGAGCAAGTCCTGGAAACCATTGCTGGACACATGAACAACAATTCATAGAGGTCAGATCAGCTCGTCCAAGGGGAGGTCCTGCTTGGCCACCTGACCCCTTTCGTGATAGAGCGAGCCGCCAGCAGACACAGACAGCAGGGGACAGTGTCCACCTGCACTGCAGGGAGGCCTTGGGCACTGCATCCCATCTGGTCCTCCTAGAGAAGCTGTTGGTCTACAGGTTGGATAAGTAAGAGGTCGAGGCAGGAAGGCTGGATCCAGGAGTGGTGGTGAGTGACACAGTCTCATGGGAGGCTGGTCATTCACAGTGTCCACAGGAGTCTGTGCTGGGCCCTGGCCTGTTTAACATCCTCATTCCTTGGATAGTGGGGCAGCAAATGTGCAGGTGACAGCAAACCTTGAGTAGTGGCTAACAAACCAGGGGGTCATGTGTCCATCCAGAGGGACTTGGACAAGCTGGAGAAGTGGGCTGGCAGGAATCTCCTGAGGTTCAACCAGGGAATGTACAGAGTTCTGCCCCTGGGGAGGAACAGCCTCAGCATCGGGACATGCTGGGGGCCACCAAACTGGAAAGCAGCTCTGCAGCAGGGGGGCTGGGGGCTAGAGGACACCACATTGACTATAAGCTTAGCATGTCCTCAGGGCAAAGCAGGTGAATGATATCCTGGGCTGCATCGAGGATATTTGTCAGCAGGTCACAGGAGGTCAAAGACGTGGCTGTGAGGCTACTCCTGGAGCACTCTGTCCAGTGTAGGGCACTGAAGAGCAAGTTCAGGAGACATGGACTTACTGGAGGGAGCCCAGTAAAGAGCCCCAAGAAGGGTGGGCTTGAGCATCTTTCATACGAGGAGAAGCTGCAAGTGCTGGGACTGTACATCCTGGAGCAGAGGAAGTTCAGGCATATCTCATCCATGTATATAAATATCCAAAGGAAAGCAGAAAGGATGAAGCCTGGCTCTTCCCAGTGGTGCCCAGTGGCAGGACCAGAGTCACTGGCAGGACCAGACCCAACTGGAATACAGGAGTGTCCCTCTGCACATCAGGAAACACTTTTTTCCTGCCCAGGGACCTATGCAGTCTCCATCCTTTGCAAAAGTGACTGGACACTGTCCTGGGCCCCTGGCTCTGGGTGGCCCTGTCTGAGCAGGACCAGGGAGACCCCAGAGCTGTCCCTGGCTTCAGCCAGTCCAGGACCCCAGGACCTGTGTCCAGCACGTGCCTTTGTGGGGGTGTTTGTGTGCAGCTGCAGTGTGGAGAGTGTGTGTGGGGTGGGTGTGTGCATGCAGGGGTACATGATGGTTTGCACATGCAGAGCTGCATGTGCCTCACTTGTGTGTGTTCACAGAGCTGGGCACACATGTATAGCGGTGTGTGCACACACCATTTGCACGTGTAACTGCCGGTGCTGGTGTCTCTGTGCACTGCTGTGTGTGCTGATGTGCCCTGGCATAGGCACAGCTGGGAGTGACGGGAGGGAGGGTACGAGTGTGTCTGTGTGTATCTGTGCGCTTCTGCGCAGACTGCGTGGGCACATGCCCGTGCCTGTGTGCGCGTGCAGCCGTGTGAGCGCGCACCGCCGTGCGTGCCCGCGCAGCCCCGGCTGCCCCGGGGTGTTTCAGCGCGTTCCGCGCGCGTGCGCGCTGTGCGCGTGCACGGCTGTCCGTGGTGGTTATGTGCGCGCGTGCGCCTGCGGGAGCGTGTGCACGGTGTGCGCGCGCCGCTGCGCAGGCGCGGGGCCGTGCAAGAGAGCGGGCCGGGCGGACGTGGCGGCGGAGAGGGCGATGCGGGCGGCGCTGCCGGGGCCGGGGCTGTGGGTGCTGCTGGCGGCGGCGCTGGCGGCGCGGTGCTGTTCAGAGCTCCCCCAGCTCCGCGCGGCCGCGCTGCGCGACCTGGCCCGGGGCAAGGTGGAGGTGAGCGCGGGCGGGGCGCCCGGGCAGCGCCGGAGGTGAGCCGGTGCCCGCCGGGTGCCTGACGGGGTGTACCTTCCGCAGACCTGCGGCGGGTGACGGCTGAACCGCCTCAGCGAGGTATGTAGCGGGGCCGGGGGACGCGGGGAGCCAGGGCCGCCCCGCTCTGAGCCGGGTCGGGCCGGGCCGGCCGCTCTCCGCAGGTGAAGGCGTTCGTCACCCAGGACATCCCGTTCTAGTACCCAGCGGCGGCGGCGGCGGCGGCAGCAGCGTTGGGGCTCTGCAGGAGGGCACGGGGTGGGACGGGGGCGGGACAGGATGCGAGGGGACAGGGTGTGAGAGTATGGGATGGGCTGAGGGAGGGATCAGGTGGAGGATAGGGCTGTGTGAAAAGTGGAGGACGGGATGGCTGGGGGATGGGATGGAGAATGGGATGATATGACGTAGGACAGAACAGGATGGGATGGGAGAAAATGCGATGTGACATAGGGGAAAGAGGACAGTATAGATGTGATGGAGGATGGAATGGGATGTCATGGGACAGGGGCTGCGTGGTCCTGCCCAGTGCTGTCTGCTCCTTGATGCATCATCCAGCCATAACCTGGAGATGAAACACCTGCCCGGTGCTGACCCTGAGCTTGTGCTTCTCAGCCACCAGTATGAGGAGCTGGAGGTGAGTGGGCAGCCTGGCACCCACTGCCACAGGGCCTGATGGTCAGTTCTCTGTGGGTGCCAGGCTGCAGCCCCTGTCTGGGTGCAGAGAATCCCCCTGAGTGACATGACCCGGGAGGAGATCAACCGGCTGGTGCAGGAGCTGGGCTTCTACCGCAAGGAAACACCTGATGCTGCTGTGCCCAAGGAGTTCCAGTTTGCCCCTGCCAAGCCTCTGCCCATGCTGCCACCCCCCCAAGCACCCGCCACTGGCATCAAGACCCCACTCAAACGTGACAAGGGAGAACATCCAGACCTCTAGTGAGGAGTGCCGCACCTGGGACAGGGTGACGCAGCCAGTCCACAGCATAGGGAATGAGGGTGTTACAGCAGCTGGGGATAGTGCTGCAGGGTGGCAGAGGTGCCCCCCCTGCTTTTGATTGGTGCTGCGTAGCCTCTGCCCCAAGGATGCCCTGGGTAGCGCCAACTTTGAGCAGGGGCTTCCTGGGCACTGTGGGCATACCAAAGGTCCTAGTGCTGGTTGTTGCCTTCCCATGCCTGTAGCCCGTTATCCCTGGTCAGCTGGGAGGAGCAGCATTCCCTGCACTCCCTTGCTGTGCCCGAAGGTTTTAGCTGCTCCCGGCAACTGGGCAGCAGTATCCTACCTGCATGGGACAGGATGAAACCCTCAGCAGAAAGTGACAGGTGCTAAGGGTAGATGTGCTGAGTCCCAAAGGTGGGAGAGCTGCCCCAGGGAGAGGGCTTTACCCCCCAGTAGTTATCTTGTATCCGGCACCCAGTAAAGCCTTTATGTACAGTTGGCTGTACTGTGTCATCTTTCCAGGGTAGGCTTGGTGGTGTGCATCCTGCACTGCTCTGTGCCGAGGGGAGCTGGGTGCCCCAGAGCTGCTCAGACGCAGGACAGGATGGCAGGGTCACAGCTACTGCTGGTGAGCCACAAACCAACCTGTGCTGTTCCTGTGCCATCCCCCTAACCCAGTACAATGGAGGGATGAGGGTGGGCACCCTGGGAAGAGCTGCTCTCACAGGGCACAGGGCATGAGCCCACAAGCTGGTCCTGCAGTGCTGAGCTGTAGCCCTACGGCTGCGCTAGCCCAGTGGGGATATCTGGCCCTGAGCCAGGGAAGGAAGCAGGGCACAGCCAGGCCTGAGGGTGATGGGGGGCAGGAGGGTGCACAGCAAACCAACAGCACTGGTCAGGGTGGGGGACTGAAGGTGCCCCTCAGCTCCAGACATTATCAATGAGTGGAGGAGTGCCCTGTGCCCCTCCAGGCTGGGCAAACAGTGGGGCTGCAGGCAGAGAGGCCAGGAGTGGCCAGACTGCCAGCACTCCCCAGGCACCACAGTATGTGCTATGCCACTGGAACAAGGACCTGAAACAGAGGTATCGCCCTAGGTAAACCTTTATTGTCTGGCTGGTGGTGGTACACGTGTCAGCACAGGTGTAGAGACGTGATGGAGGGGCGAGCGGCACTGAGCCCATGGTGCTGGGAGTAGGGGCTGTCATCCTGGCTTCTTCCTTCGGCCTCAAGCTCCCCTGGGACCTCTTACCCCTGCCCACTCCCCAGCCCACAGGTGCTACAGCCCCTAGTGCGGAAGTGCCCCAGGTGCACGTGAAGGTGGGAAGCAGGGTGTCGGCACAACTGTGGAGCTGTCCCCAGGGAGGTGACACCAAGCAGGGCCTGTGGTGGGCAGAGGGGCTTCCTCACAGGGAGCCAAGGGAACCACTGACAGGTGCTGCCTGTGGGATGCCTGGCTGGGCTGCACGGTCCTGCTCAGCCCCTGACCCACACCGTGCCCCAGGCCTGGGGGCACAGCTTCGCCTGTGCCACTCCAGGGACACAGAAGTGCTGCCCACAGGGTAAACAATCCCTGGAAAGCAAATAACTTAACAGGCTGCAGCGCAGGGGGCAAGCCAAGCCAGGAGCATCCCCAGCAGCGCCTGCATGGCCCTGCCCATGGGGTCAGCCCGCAGCTGGCTGGGGCAGAGGCAGCTCTGGCAAGGCAGAGGCATGGGGGTGCCTGGTTGGCAGAGTTCCCCCTGTCCCTAGTGCCAGGCCTGTGGCCCCCCCAGACCCTCCTGGGGCAGGCAGCTCCCCTGCCCACTGGCAGCCCTGGCAGCAAGGGCAGTGGGGGGGTGGGCAGGGCAGGCTCTAGCACTCTTTCTGCCGCATGCGCAACTCGTGGCGACGCAGGTGGTTGTAGAGGGACTGCACATAGGTGAAGACGCACTTGGCGTCTGGCTTCTTCCCCATGATCATCATGTCTTCGACCTCCACCAGCGGCACGCAGTCCACCAGCGTCCTGCAGAGATGAAATCCTCAGGCAAGCTGCCCTGGGTGGAGGCTGGGATGGAACCCCACACTGCCCAAGGCCTGCTGGCATTGGGCACTGCTGCCCTCAGCCCCATGTGGCTCCTGCCTGCCCTCTAGTAGCCCCAGTCCTGCCGCTCCTGGCACTAGGAAGAGTATGTGTTGCCTGCCCTGGAGGCTGTCTGCCCTGGGGGGTTTGCCCACCTGTCTGCATCCCTTGCCCCCGTGGTGCTCTCTTGGTGCTGGTAGTCATGCCCTGCTCAGGCTGTGCCCACCCTCCTCCTCCTCCAGCGGCTGGTGGTGCCCCCTAGGGAGAGCCCTGCTTGCCTGCACATGTCTGCAGCCTCAAGCCCCACCGGCTGGTCCAGGGAAAGCAGGGACAGGGAGTGGATCTCAGTCGCAAGCTGCCCCTCCCTCCTTCTTCAAGCCCTCACCCTGCTCTTCTGCCTCCTGCCAGCCAGACTCTCAGCCTTGCCCCTGACTAGAGCCCAGGGCTGCCTGCCCCAGGCCCAGCACTATTGTGGTGGGTGCTGCCCTGCTTCAGTGAGCTCAACCTGGTGTGTGCCTATTGCCTCCTCTCCCAGCCCAGCATGAGGTAGGGGTCCATGGAGGACCCTACTCCAGCAGCTACCAGCCTCGGGGAGCCATGGCAGATCAGCCATGCCTGTGCCCCAATCCCCACAGCCTTGGGGCTCTACCACTGCCCCTCTGGTGGGGTGGCCACCCTATCCCCACCACCCATCCAACTCCCTGGGCTGCTTTGTCCCCAGACTGGGGCTCCCTGGGTGCTCAAGGAGGCTGACAACACGATTATGGGTCACTATGGCAATCAGGCAGGGCATGGAGGGGATTCAGCCACCTCCATCCTCTAGTCTTTCTACTAGGGGAGTAGATGTGGGGGAAGAGGGGGTGGGGCACAGAAGCAACTCTGCCACTGCTGCGACCCCCATCCTGGCCATGCCCAGGGCCCTGCATCCCTGCAAGGCATTGTCCCCTCAAGGGGACTGATGGTGCTGGAGCACCCCAGCTGCTGTGCTGCTGGGGCGAGGGCTGTGCCAGCACTGGGGGCTGAGCTGGCTTGAACTGGCAGCCCCTGCTGCTGTCATGGCTGGCTCAGCTGCACCGGCCTTGGGCCACCCTCTAGCTGCAAGGACAGGATGCACAAGGAAGGTCCAAACCCCATGCTGCCACCCACCACCACAACACCCTCACTCCTGTCACAACCATTCCCCTGCTGTAGCCCCACTGTGCACCTTGACCCTCCAGAACAGTCCCCCCATCCCTCCCTCCCTCCCTCCCTCCCTCTCTGAGGACAGACCCCCAGCTGCTGCCAGCTCCTGGGGAGTACCAGGGCCCAGGAGAGCCCTGCCCCAGCCCCCACAGTCCCAGCCTTCCCATGGTGCCTTTGCTACACTGGTCAGCGGACTCTGAGCCCATGACCTGGCTGGCACCACCCCATTTCATGCTTTGGCCAACGTGGGGATGAGGGGCCATGCTCAGGGCCTTGGGAAAGCCCATGCCTGGCTCTGGGGGTGAGGGCGGAGTAAATGGCAGCACACAGAGAGCAGCTCTGCCCTTATAAAGCCATTGTTTGGGCTCTGGTGTGCCAGTGCTGTGCAGAGCCATGGCTCCAGCACCAGACAGGATGCTCTGAGGCAGGCACAAACACTGCAGGATGAGGCAGGACTCGAGCCTTGAGTCACACTTTCCAGACTCCTGCTCCTGCCCATATATGAGCAGGCAGCACCTCAGGGCTGGGCATGTGCACTCAGGGCAGGGGAAGGAGGCAGCAAGTGCAAGCAGTAAAGCTGCAGCAGCCCGGGGGGGTCACCCACACTCAGGCAGCATCACTCAGAGCACAGAGCTGAGTCCCCAGCAGCTCATCCTTAGGTCAGGCTCAGCCAGGGGGAGGGATCTGTTCTCACTACTCCCCTGGAGAGTCAAGACTCCTATAGGGTGACAGTCTCCACTGCCCAAAACCCCATGGGTGTTATTCCAGAAGACCCAAGGCCAGTCAGCTGCCTCTGCCCATCTCCTGGCTGCAGCAGGGTCCTGCCTGGCACCACCAGGCCTTGCCCCTTGCCCACTGGCATCCCCCAGCCTTGTCCCCAGCCGCGGCAGCTGCTTCCCAGCTGAGCCCTGGTGGTGGTGGGGCACAGGCAGATACTTGGAGGGGAAGGTTCTCACCATTGGTCCTGGGGGGGGTGACAATGGGCTACGACTTTTTGGTTTTTACCAGCCCCTTCTGGACCAGGCAGCGATAGAATTCCTGAATGTATGTGTACACACACTTCCAATCTGGCTCGCGCATCCGGACCATGTCCTCCACGTCCAGCAACTGCGGACAGTCCGCGTGCTTCCTGGGTGCAGGGAGAGAGAGGGGCAAGCCAGTGACCGCAGCCCAGTCAGGGAGGGGAGGAAGAGAAAACAAGAGACACAGATCAGTGCAGTTCCCGTCCCCCCAGAAGCTGCTCTGCTCTGGCATGCTCTGGGGGTGCGCGATGCAGGGGCGGGAAGGCTCCAGGCACCCTATGCCAAGGCCATTCAGTGAGACTGGGGGGGCACAAGCAAGGGGAGGGGGAAGGGGCAGCGGGTGAGCGGTGTGGAGAGGCGTGAGGTTCAGAGGGAAGGACAGACAGAGAAGGAGGAGGAGTGAGGTGTTCTGGTGCGCCAGGTGCTCGGGGAGCGGGTTCCAGAGTGGAGTGACGCTCTATATAGCTCCTATATAGACCTGTTAGGAGGATGGCAGGGCAAGCCCAGCCCTCCTGCCTAGCTCCGCTTGGAACCACGCAGCACAGCCCTGGTGCAGGAAGCTTAAGAGAGGACGCTCACAAGAGCTGGAGGAGGAAGGACGAGAGGCCACCTGGCTTCCAGGCCGGAGAGATGATGGCTCTCTCAAGTCCACGCACTGGTTCCCCAATTAAGGCAAAAAGTCCATTACCAGGAGCGCCAAGAGCCAGGCCCGCAGCTCCCTTCTTGCTCCACCAAACAGCACTATGGCACCCAGGGAGCTTGTGGGAGCCCCCAGCTCACCCCATGGCCACGGACACCAGCCGAATGGGACCCCAACCCCTGGCCCTGCCCCCGGGCAGGGTGCTGGAGGAGATGAGTGGATGGGTGGGAGAGAGACAGAAGGAAGGAGAGAGGGGCCTGGCTGCCAGCTCTCCAGCTGGGCACACTCCCAGCTCTCAGCACCCAGGAAAATCAGAAGCAAAAGGGGAAGGGAGGAGACTAGAGAAGCTGCAACGGTGTTTGAGCCCCTACGACTGTGAAAGTAGGCACCTGGCATGGGCAAACCCTGCTCCCCACAAGATGCAGTCCCACACCTGGCACCTTGGGATGGGATGTACTGCCTGCAGCCACATGGGCTTAGGGAGCTGCTGCCTTGCCCTGTGCTTGGGAGCCCAGACCCCCACGCCCACCCTCACCATACCAGACTGGGCTGCACTGGCCCCTTGTGACTCTGCCCAGACAGCTGCTGCTTTCCCACCCAGCACCCAACCTTATTGCATGACATGGGGGGAGCAACACATATGGGCATCCACCTCCGGCACCACCACCCTCATCCCAGCAGCGAGCAGAAGAGGCCGCCCCCCAAGCCACCCCAAGCTCATATGATGAGCATGAGAGGTACGTACTCTGCAGAGGAGAAGGCCACCTCAAAGTTGTGGCGGCGGTTCTGGGGCGTCAGCTTACTGTAGTCAAACGCATCAGGGAAGAAGTTGTGGACCAAGGCACAAAAGGCCATGCCGTCACTCCAGCTGGATGAGAAGTTCTGGATGTCCACATGCTGAGAAGGCAAGAGAGTTACCAAGGGACAGAGTGACTGGCCCTGGGATGGGAAGAGGATGTGGCACCCACCTCATAGCCCCGGGTCTTGGCTCTGCACCAGTCCAGCAACATCTGCTTGATACTGTTGGCGTTGGGCACGCCGAAGCTGGAGGAGCGTTGCACAGTGGTCTGTGACGCTGCGGGGTTTGGTGAGCTATGGCAGGAGACACAGGGTGTTATCCATGGGTGTTAGCTGCAGGGTGTTATCTGCACAGTGTTCACTGCCCCAGCCAGCCTGCCCCAGGCCCAGCCTCACCTCCCGCCTTCCTTCTGCAGCTTCTCCATCATGGCCTTGCGCGCCTGTGAGGTTGAGGTCTTGGGCAGGCTCTGAGCCTTCATTAGCTCCTTCTTCTTCTCCGCCTGACGTCGCTCCAGTGCAGCCAGGCTGCTCTGCCTGGAGGCACTCTCATCCTCACGGTCGAAGATGCTGGGAGAGAGACGAACAATGTGAAGGGGGCTCCAGGTGGCCTAGGGAAGGGCAAGCAGTGGCCTCAGCCCATTGCCAGCCCTGGCACTTCAGAATCCTCCACGTCCCTAGGACAGAAGAGAGTGGCTTAAGGCCCCTTGCCGGCAGACATGTCTTTGTGCCCATGGAAGGACCCATGAGGACCTCTGAACATAGTGAGAAGGACCAGGAGGCTTTGGGGACACCCTTGCACAGGGACACCACAAGCAGATGAGTGACAGGGACCGTATGTGCCTGTCCTTGCAGACACCACCACTCACCTGCCGGTCTTCTTGGATGAGGAGCTGTAGGATGATTTGGTTTGAACAAACGTGCTGTTGCCATCTGCAGAGAGAAAGGAAGGAAAGAGGCCCTGGGCATAAGCTGAGGCAGGTGGGACTTGGACTGCACCAGGGCAGTGATGACTCAGCGGCAGTGATGCCCCAGGGTTACACCTGACAATGCAGCAAGGAAAGGGCAGGGAAAGCTCTTACTGTCTGATCTCTTCACATAACTCGACTCCATGGTTGTGGTACGGGAGGTCTTGGTGCCATCACCTGCAGAGACAAGGCAACAGGAACAGCTGGGCTGGGAGCAACAGCACCCACAGACACCAGCTGCTGCCAAGTACCCTCACACCCATGCAGTGCAATGGGTAGAAGTCTCAGACGGTAGAGCCACAGGCATGGCAGGCAGAGGGAGGACAGAGGGCACGTGCCCCCCAGGCAGAGCAAAGAGGCCAGCACAAACAGCAGAGAACTGGGGCATCCCTCAGACCCTGCAGCCACTCGGCTTGAGCCACCCAAGTGACTGGGAGAACAGGGGTATAGGGGACAGGAGACAGGCCAAAGATGTAGACAAGGCCCTGCCACGCCAAGAGAATGGGGATCAGGTGGCAAGTCACCAGAGCAGATCCATTAATGATCCACAGGCAGGCTCTGAGCAAGCCAGAAACTCAGCCCTGAACTAGTCCTGCTCCCAGCACAGTCAGGCGAGACCCAGGACAAACAGCAAGTGGCAGAGGAACTGTGGTGGCAGAGCATTGGGAAGGGTTCTACATGGCCACCGAAGGGCCAGCACACCGGTCAGTGAGCCCAGTGCCCCCCAGCCTGGCCCATACTAGACTGGATGAGACGCTCAGTCTTGGTGACGGTGCTGCGCGCTGAGCCGTCAGCTGACTGAGTGCTCTGCGTGGTGGTGGTCTCGGTGGTGTGGCCAGCCCTTCCTGCCATAGCCTGGCTCCTAGCCTCCTGCAGCCGCTGGTCTCGCTCCTTCTCCCGCTGGTCTGCAAACACAGGTGGGAGACAGCATAAGCAGTGAGAGGCAGGGTGGTGGGCACACTCCACGCCACACCAGAGGTCCTATAGCTGCTGTTGTTCCACAACTGGCTCATAGGAAGTATGATGTCCTCGGCCTGGCACAGCCAGGGGGGCAAGAGAAGACCCAGCACGCGGCCTCCAGCCTCTCTGTGGCTTGGACAGCCCCGCTCCAGCACTCCACACTGCCTCCACCACTACTCCAACTGCAGTGGGAGTCACTGTTCCCCAAGTACCTCGCTTGCGCTGGCGCAGCTCCCGCATGGCATTTCGGATAAGTCGTCGCTCCTCAAAGTCCGTTGTCTGATCCAGCTGCAAGAGGGAGAGGTCAACATCACTCCTCTGCCATCAGCTTGGGGTCCCTTCGTCTTCCCCCAGGAGCCTGAGCCAGAGGCAGAGGTACCATCTTATCCAGAACATCCTCATCCTCAATCCTGCTCAGCTCCTCGACATTCAGCTTGCTCCTTCTCTCCACCTCCCTCACTTGCACCTTCTCCGTGCCGTTGGGCAGCTCTGGCTCCAGCCTCAGAACCTGGGGCTGCTCCACCACCTCCGGCTCCATCTGCAAGGACAGCACGGTGCAGCTGAGCCCCTGCCAGCTCAGCCACCCCACTACTGCTGCTCAGGGTCCGGGCCCCCACCACCCTAACACCTGCTCAGTGCCAAAGGCAGTGAGGACCCTGGAGAGGACATGCCACATGCGGCATAAGAGCTCTCAGCCGGTGGGACACCGGAGGCATCTGCAGTACCCAAAGCAGGCAGGGGGGCATGGCATGCCCCTGTGGCACCCACTGCCCCTGGAGGGCCCAGCAGTCCCTGACCTCCTCCCAGTCTGGCTGGCAAAATATCTCCAGATACTCCCTGCTCCCTTCAGGAGATGGCCGGGCCCCCCAGCAGACAGGGGCTGCCTGGGGCTACAGGCTGGGCAGTGCCTGGTGCCCAGCTGCAAGTAAGGTGTTGGCAAGGCCAGTGTGTGCTGTTAGCAGCACAAGGGATTTCCATGGAATTAAGGGACTTAGTGGAGAGAAGAGCTTGTGCAGGAGATCAAGAGCCTCCCCCGCATTCCTGCCAGGATCTAGGCCAGCTCGGCCCCTGCCTGAACACAGCCAGGACACCAAGTCCCTTTCAGCATGACCCCCCAGCAATGCACAGCAGGCAGCAGGCCAGGCCCGGAATAGGAGGCAGCAGAGATGCCAGAATTGGCCTGGAGTAGCCATGCACACATCTGGCCCAATCCTGCATCCTGCAGCCCTGCACCTGGCCCATGGCAAAGCCATCGGCAGGAGCTGACATTGGCCACATGCACCCATGCCACCACCTGTGCCAGGCACTGCGGCAGGGGCAGGACAGCTGCCTGTGGCCTCCTGCCTGGCATGTCAGCAACGTAGAGCAGGCAGGCACTGCAACTGTGCCACAGTGAGCCCAAGAGGTAGTAGATCCTCATGGTGCCGTGTCCCTGTGCACCATGGCCACAGTTCCACCTTGTGCCTGGGCTCCAGACACCCCCAGGAGCCCCAGAGGCCAGTGCCCCCTCCCACCCCGTGCCATGGGACAGGGCTGCCCACACTCACACTGCTGTTGGTCCGGGAGAGGTGCAGGGCTGATTGTTGGCATGTGCTGGAGAAAGTGGGTGGATGGGCCACAGGGCCGCTGGGCTCCTCGGTGCCCTCAAAGTGGGCGCAAGGGTCCTGTGCTTCCAGAAAGAGGGTGCTGATGTCCTCCACAGGGGGCTCCTGCAGCCCTGGTGCCAGTAGGCTGAGGCAGCGGCCCAGGCGCTCCAGCTCTGCCCGCAGCTCCAGCTGCTCCTGCTCCAGTGACTGCAGTGCCTGGGCCAATGCCTGCACCCACTGCAGCGCCCACTGCAGCTGCCCCTCTGCCACCCCCCGCAATGCTGCCAGTTCCTGACGCAGCTCAGCCAGCTTGGCTGTCCCGGCCTGTTCCAGCCTCTCCAAGCTGATCCCCAGCATGGCGGCGGTGCAGGCACTGCAGTGAGCCTTGCTCAGCTGTCTGCTGCCTTTTATAGGGGGCACAGGGCACCACCCCAGCTAGAGGCCAGCCCATTCCCTGCCTGTGGGTTATTCTGGTCCCAGCAGCTGGGGGGTCCCTCAGAGGGGTGCTGAGCCAGGCGTCACACTTGGCAACGTGTCCGGCTTTGGGACCAGGTGGCTTGGCAAGGGGAGCTCTGCAAGTGGCCCCCCCGCCCTGGCAGCTGCCAGGGCCTGATACCAGCCTGGGGCCTGTGGGACACAGCAGGGGGGACCAGTCCCGACCACCGCTGTGCAGGATGAGTGACAGGGCCAACCACTGCTGTGCCCTTTCGTCCAAGCGCTCTCCCACTCTGGGCCAGCATCACCCACAGCACACCAACACCTCCGGCCCCAGACTGGCACCAGTGCAAGGGCCTCAGCCACAGTCAGGATTTTTAGAGGTCTCCATACCCCCATGCTGCCTGATGCCTGTGCCACAGGGGGTCCCTGCATGATGGACATAGGCAGCACCTCACCAGCAAGAGGACACGCTGCAGTGGCTACTACCCCCAGGTCCCTGCAGCCCACTGGTCCCTCCAACCGAGGGCTGCCAGCACTGCTGCCTTGTCCTCCTCCTCCTGTCTGCACACTGGGAGCACACCTGGCAGCTGTGTCTCCCACCAAGCAGCTGATTGGTCTCAGGCCCCCCACCCCACCAAGCAGCCCCACTAATACCTTAATGAGAGCTGATGGGTGCTCAGGCCAGGTCCGCCCAAGCGCATTAGCATGGGGAAGTCAGCTCGCTGCAGGCAGTGAGCTGCCCACAGGTAGGACCTGCTAGCAGGTGTGGGCAGCACCTGAGAGCAACTCTGCCAGGCCGTGGACACTGCCTGCCTCATGCTGAGGGGGGCTGGGCTGAGGAAAGGGTGAGCCAGTAGTGCCACAGCCACCAGTGTGCCACAGGCCACTAGCAGTGCCATGGGCCACTGGCAGTGCTGTTCCCATAGAGGCAGCCAGGCGTGCACGGGGCCATGAGTGAGGCAGAGCCATGTTTGACATCCCAGCTCCTGCCAAGGCGGCGCGTGGGTGCCTCACATTACCCTAGATGGGCAGGAGCAGACAAAAGCACTTGAAGGGCTGCACGCACGGCTGTCTCCTGTGTGCAGCCAGCCCCAGAGTGGTCGCAGCCCACTCTCCCCCCAACACACTGCAGAGTGGTAGTTTTTTCTCTAGTTGCACCCAAGAATCCCTCCTGGGCCAGGTGGGCTGGGACTCCACTCAGGCTTGCGGAGTGGGAGCAGGCAATACCCACAGCTCCAGGATAGGTTAGAGACCTTCAGGGAGCCCCACCCCAAGACAGGTTCCCCAGTGCCATGGCCAAGGACCATCCCCAGGAGGAAAACCAGGAGTGGGTGGCAATGGGTTTTTCCCTGAGCTGTTGCCACCCTTAAAGGTGCTTAAAACAGAAGGAGATCCAAAAAAGACTCCCAGGTCGCTTCCCTCCCCCTCCCCGAATGTGTGAGTACATGGCGGCGCGATCCAGAGTGCAGGGGACTCATGGGGCTGTGCAACCACATGCAAAGCCAAGGGTCCCTTGATGGAAAAAAACTCCCAACGAAAACAAAACAAAAGCACCAATCAAAACCAGTCCACATGCTGCCACCCTGCTGGTCCCTGGTCCCCACCCCAAGCCCTGGAGCTGTCAGGTGATGCCCAGGTGAGGCATGGCCCCACAGCACCAAGGCCCCCTGGGCACTTACCTTGGTGACATTGCTGCTGACACTGCTGATGTTGCAGATACTGCTGACGCTGCTGGGGATGGTGGTGATGCGGATTGGGGTGCTCCGCAGCCCCAGGGTTACCTCTGCAAGGGGAGGAAGAGGCATGTGGGGTCTGCCCCAGCCTGGAAGGCTCAGCCCCACAGCTGGAGACTGGCTCTGGCTGGGCAGCCCTGGTGCCCCATGCATCCTGCCCTGACAGCAAGCACGAGGCTCTGGCACAGGGAAAGGGCTCTGGGGACAGGCAAGGGATGGGAAAGCCAGGCCCCCCTCACTATACTGGCTTATCCTCCTCCCCAAGGAAGGGCACTTTCTGCAGTGCTCCAGCTGGATCCAGAACCCCCTGGTGTGAGGGATGGCCACAGGAGCATCCCAAGCCAGTCACATCTGCAGGCAGGCAGGGGTGGGGCAGGGCTGGAGCAAACACAGCACAGCAGTGGAATGGGACACACCAGGACAGCCTGGGCTCACCTGAGCCAACAGTTCAGTGAGGACAGAGGATGTGGCAGGGCTGTAGGGGCAAGGCAGGGACTGGGCAGTGACCTTGAGCACGAACATATCAGGACAGTGGGGCTGAGGACAAGCTGCAGGGCCAGGTGGTCTCTCTGGACCAAGATGCCGTGAGAAGGCTCAGTGTGCCTGCCAAGGGGTGACACCTGCCAGGCAAGCTATGATCTTCTGGCAACACCCATATTCAGCCTCTGGGCTGCCAACAGCTGCTTGCTGCCCACCAGCACCAGCCTGGCCTAGCACTGCCCACCTGCCTCCACCTCCCATTATTGCCCACCATCCTTCAGTGCCTGGTTGCCCACTGGCACCCACCTGCACCACTGCCAAGCTGTGCACATAGTCCCATCGGGAACACGGTCCCACAGTGCTTATGGCCCTGCTGGCACCCATTCCACTGTGGTACCCACCTTCCTGAGAGACACCCACCTTTCCCAGTCCCACCTCCCTGAGTGACACCCACCATGCCCATCACTCCTATGGCATCTAGCCTCCCCCACATACCACCTGCCCACTTGACCTGTCTTGCTCGCCCTATACCCCATCAGTGCCCACCTGCCCGCTGGCTGCCGGGGGTGGTCGTGATGCGGGGCGCGAGGGGCTGCACACGCCCATCCTTGATCTCGATGGTGAAGAAGGTCTTCATGGCGTCGAGGCGGCGGCCGGCGGGGCGCGGAGTCGGGCGCTGCTCTGCGCCGCCGCTGCCCCGCTCGTTTTGAGCGGGCGCCGGCGGGGCCGTGCGGGGCCCCCGCTGCCATTGGGCGGCCCCGGCCCCGGCCCGCCCCCCCGCACCGCCCGCCCCCGCCGGCCCAAACCTCTGCGCGCGCTCCCGCACCGAGCCGGCGGCGGAGGGCGGCGGGAGTCCGGCGGAGCGCGGCGCTGCGGGGATGGGAGCGAGGTCACCGGGCTGCAGCCACCGGGACTGCGACCCCCGCTTGGTCCCGCACAGCGCATGCAGCCCTCCGGGGTGCCCCCTGCGATGCACGCTGCCCCCGCATCCTGCGGTGCCTGCTGCAATGCATGCTCTCCCCACCCCAGGGTGTCACACCGTGCATGCAGCCTCGCAGCGTCCCCACGCGATGCACAATGCCCACGTAGTGCCTGGCCGTGCATGGAGCTCTCCGCAGTGCCCACAAGATGCATTGCTGCCCTCGAGAGACCCCACTACACATCCACCATCCCCGGAGGTGGCTGCAGCCTCTGCCCCCTCTCCCCACTCCTGCAGGGGCCAGGTGCTTGTGGACGTGGATGGGAGGGAGGGAAGGAGGGATGCTGGGCAGGGAGCAAAAGAGCAAGTGGGTGGCCAGCAGTATCGTGGATACGCTGGAGTTCCACGTCTTCCAAGGCTCCACGAGGAACCTCCTGCCAGCGGGAAGCAGAGAACAGAGGCAAGCACCACGGAGATCTTACCTGTGCGACCAGCTGGGCACAAGGAGGAGGGCACCTGCTCCTGCTGGTTAGTATTCAGGTGAGCTGGGGTCCCTACTAGATCCTGGGTAGACACTGGCACTTGGGAAGAGACAGCACAGATAGGGAAGGAACAGGACAAAGGGAACAGAGGGTGAGCACAGCACAGGGTGCTGCTGCCATCCCCACAGTACAGCACCCTGGAGCTGCCCTCCTTGTCACGCCACACTCCCCAGTGCATAGTGCCAAAATCTGCCAGCATCTGTAGGCTGCCCCACACGCCAGGCATGGGCTCTGCCCTGCAGTGCCAAACCACACCGCAGAGAAGGGAAGGATCTGTGCCCAGCAAGGCAATGGGGGGTACCTGGGGTCTATGCCAAAAGGTCGGGATGACCCCTATCCCTGTCAGGCCCTTGCATTGCCTCTGGAGGGGAGGGGGAGGGACCTGGGTGGCTCAGCTTTTGAGGGTGCAGGTAGGGTTCTGCCCTGGGGCTGGAGTCACTGATGCCCATAGAGCTGGGAGTGGGAGGTGAGCTCAGCCTCTCCTCAGAATCCACATTTGAGTCCCCTGTGAGGCAAGGGGATGCAGGTCCTGCACACTTCCCTGCATTCTGGGCTGTGCCATGCTGCAGCCCAGCATCTTCCCAGGGTTTCTGCCTTTCCAGAAGCCAGCAGCCCCCAGGGACACCTCAGAGGGAGGGGACCTCTGCCTGCAAGGGCAGCTCCAAGAGGGGACCCTGACCCTGGGAGGAGAGCTGCTTTTTGGTTTTCCTGTTTACTCCTGGCACAACCATGTAGACAGTTTTCCCAGCAGTAGGAAGAGGGCAGCTGCTGGCCACTGGAATCCCCCAGGGCTGCAGGGAGGCCCCAGAGGGTGCTAAGCCTGGGGGAGGGAGGGGGTGGTCAGAGCCAACCACACATTGCTCTCAGCCTTATTGGGACAAAGAATGCAAAAGTCCGGGGTTTGCTGCCGGCACCGATTCCCTTTCATGGCCCTGTGGCCACCTTACCAGAGAGGGGTTCTGGTAAACAGCCCGCCTGGAACCCAGCTCCCTGGCCGGAACGGGCACTACCACTACTTGGCTGGGCAGAATCAGCCTAGGGTGGCCCTTGGCCTGACCACATCTTGCATTCACATTCCTGTTCCAGCATGCATGGGCTGGAGTCACATCCCCAGGGCTGCCTGGGATGTGCATGCCACAGGGCAAAGGAGCGGGGGACAGGGGGCTCTGGGGCAGCATTAGCCCCCTGGCAGGGAGCCACAGCCCTCATGTCCCCTCCCCATCCCTCTCAAAGGCTGCACTTACCCACTGGTGGCCTCCCGTGTCTCCCATCTGGCCCCAGTGCCTGGCAGCGCACCCCAACATGGAGCTGTAGGATGAGAGGGGCAGAGCGCTCAGTTGAGGGTTGCATGCAGTCCCCTATTAAGCTGCCTTGGCACACAGACCTCCAGCCCTGGGCAAGGAGGACAGTGGCAGCTGCTACCATTTCTGTACCTGGCTGGCAGCACCAGGCTGGCCCAGGGACGGCTGCTCTCCTCTGGGGCTTTGCCTCCTGCTGGGCTCTGCAGCTCTCTCTGGCCTGTCCAGGCTCCCTGCCTTCCAGGCTGCCTGTTGTTGTCCCTGGGGCTGGCCCTGCTCCAGCTCCCCAACACCATCCTCAGGCTCGGGATCGGGCTCTGGGGTTGGCTGCAGCTCCAGCAGCACAAGGGTCCCTGAGACCACTTCTGTGGGTAAAAAAAGAGGCTCTGCTTGGAGAAGCCTGAAGCTGCCTGCAGTGCATCCCTGCTCCCTTGCAGCTCCTCCAGGCACCTGGCTCCCCTGCACACCATTTGGGAAGTGTGCCCTCCATTGTCCTGAAGCTGGCCAGGCATAACTCTGGCCTCAGGGATGCACCTAGACAGGGCTTTGCCATGGACATCTGGGGGGGACTCACCCTGGGTACTGGGTTTCTGGGGGTCTCCCGCCTGTCGGCTGCACAGCTCCAACATCCTGCCTGGGACATGCTCCTGCTCCACCAGGTCCTCTCGCTCATGGTCCTGGGAAGAGCAGGGGTTGAGAGCAGAACCAGCCCTGCTCTGGTCCCTGACTATGTCCCATATCTGCCACCTGGCCAGGGACATGCAGGCCGTGGCCTCTTCCCATGCTGTCCAGGTCCCTGTCTGCATGCTGCTGGGGATGGGCAAGCCAGTCTCTGCACAGGGGTCAGTGCAGGAGGCTGGCATGGGGACAAGCGTTCCCACATGCTGCTGCCTCCAGTGGGCAGGGAGGGGGACGCTGTGTCTGCTGAAGCAGAGCCCCAAACCCTGCGCACCTTTGGGGCTCCTGATATTCCTCTGGGGGTTGATCAGCAACGACCTGGCACTTGGGTCCCTCTGTGGCAGCTGCCCCAAGCACACCAGCCTTATCAGCATGGATGCCAGCAGGTGGGAGAGGACAGCTCCTGCCCCATGCCCTCAGCCCAAGCACTCCAGGGCTTCATGATCCAGGGAGCATCCAGTTTTACATCACCCTGTCTCTGCCCATGGCACCTGCAGTTCTGCTTGGCAAATGATGGGATGTTCTGGGTCTAGGTCCACACACAGGTGATAGGTGTGTCCCTGAAACACATGTGAGCAGGGCCAGGATGTGCTGGTGTCAGCCAGGGAACAGGGTGCCAGTCCTGGCTGTCAGTGCCTCTAGCAGCACTGTAGGCTTCCCTTGCTATGACTCCAGGGTGGGGGTAGGTGAAGAGGTGACTATACACTGAGGGGACACAGGAGAACCAGGTCCCGAGCCCAGGGATGGAAATGGCCTTGGGTTTGGAGTTATCATCTGGACAGAGTAAGATAGCCCTGCCAGCTGCTCAGAGATGCCCCAGCACAGCCAGGACTGGGGGCAGTGTGCCAACCTTGGGAGACAGGGGAGGCAGACAGTAGCTGAAAGGTGGCACAGGGCCACATACCCTCTGCAGCCTCCTGCTATAGCCCTGGGTCAGGTGGAGGGGTAAGCAGGGTTGGATGGAGGCAGATAGGGGAACTCATGCCTTCCTGCCTGGCTGCAGTTGTACCTACTGCTTCTTCCCTTCCCACCTTTGCCCTTAAAGGGCAACCCCGCAGGGTTGGGTGCAGGGATCTCCTACCACCACACAGTCCCTGCGGGAGTCACCCCCACCGCACTGAAAACCCCTGCTAGTGCCCATTCCTTCCAGCCCTGCCCACTAGCTCCTCCTTCTCCCATCCAGAAAGCCCCCAACTTCACTGCAGAATGAGCCCTCGATGGTTGGCAGGAACAGTCATCACAGGATGGGAGCTCAGTGTTTCTAGCTGTGCAGGGGGACTGCTGCAGGCAGCTGCCACGAGAGAGACGAGAGGTTGTTGCTTCCAAAGAGCCTCATCCCCAAGAGCCAGAGCAGGGAGGGGTGTACCATGCGCACCAACGGGCCCCCAGACCCCCACCAGGCTGCATCCTTGAGAGAAGCCAAGGGGCACCCATGCCTGAGGCCCCAGCTCCACCTCACCACTGCCAGGGTCATGATGGCACAGCTCAGCCATGTCTTCCCTCTCCTCTGAGGCCCCAGCCCCACTTGCCACAGTTTCCTTGGGCAGGCAAGCACAGCTTTCCTGGGGCTCTGTGCTCCAGACACACAGGAGCCCCCAGAGAAGGGCAAGGTCTTCAGCAGTCCTGTCTCCCATAGCACCCTACATACTCACCGCCGAAACTTCGGGCTCCTGGGCAGGGGGCTGCTCAGCAGCCCCCCTGTGCCCACTCTCCTCTAGCTCAGCCAGTGCCAGCAGTTCTGCATCGTCCTGACAGCTGCTCTCTCTTCTCCTGGCTGTGCCCAGGGGCTTGGCACTGCCCTTGCCAAGGCTTTCCCCACTCTCAGTAAGGGCTGGTGCTTCAGCATTGTCCCTCTGGATAATTTTCGCATCCCCAGGCACAGTGCGGGGCTTGTTGCCAGCCCTCCAGCTGCTCTGCACATTCCCAGCCAGGGTCGCAGCTGGATGGGAGCAAAGGTACTGTTAAGGAAGGAGCTGCCCACGTCCCAGGCTCTCCAGAGTAGCCACCCCAGAGCATGGGAATAGTGCTTCACCTTCAATCTCCTCAGCCCGCAGCTTACGGATGGCAGCTCGGATCACCTTGCGCTCCTCATACTCACCTGCTGCCCGCAGCTGGAAGAGGGAAGGACCCATGAGAAAAGCAGGGTTAGCCCCAGCACAGGGTCCATCCTGGCATGCAGTCTGCCCCAGCACATGGTCACTCACCAGTTTTGTCAGCTCCTCCACGCTGGTGATGGTTTCGAGCTGCTGGGACAAGGCGGCCAGGGCTGCTTGCTGTTCCTCCTCCAGGTGCCGAGACCTGAGCAGGGCAAGAGCAGCAGCCAGACAGAAGGTGGCGTGGGCACTTGGGAGCAAAGCCCCCTCGCGGGCAGCTGGCAGATCCAGGCAATGGGCCCCAACATGTGCCAAGCTCCTCGGAGCCAGGCTGCTCCCACCTTCAAGCTCACCCAAATCTATGCCAGCCACAGTGGGGCCAGGCATCGCAGCCCCCATCTCCCAGGGCAGAGGCAGTGGGTGACCCCCAGCTCCCCACTAGACTCACTGTGGCCAGTTCTCCTTGTCGTCCTGTCTGTGGCTGCCGTGCTCTGGGCGGAAGCGCTTGGATGCCAGTGCCTCCTCGTCCCTCTCCAGCTCCTGCCGCTGCAGCTCCCGGATGGCCGAACGGATTCGGCGCCGCTCGGCCAGGTCCAGCGTGGCCTCAAGCTGGGTGCACAGGGCAGGGCTCAGCACCAGCTCTGACTACTGAGCCCCTTTCTCAGCCCTGGTGCCACCCTCTGCCGTGCTGCCCTGGGCTGCCCACGCTCCAGACAAAGGAGCTGTCTGTCTGTGGTGCCCACGTGCCCAGTGCATGCTGCCCAACACTGCCAGGCCCTGAGGGGAGTCAGCATAGCCCCCCCCAGGCAGGATGCTGGAATCAGCCATGGCAGGGAGGGGCTGCCAGGGTGGCACTAAGACCTCCAGCATGTGAGGGGGAAAAAGATGGGCAAGTGAAATGAACACCCACCAGTGGTCCCTGCAGCCCCCAAGGGTTGGTGCCCTGCAGCTCTGCCCCCTCCCCTCTCTGAAACAAGCCCTCCCACACACAACAGCTGCTCCAGCAGCTGAGGGACAGCAAAACCTATTTTCCTCCCATCCCCATGGTCCCCAGGAGGTGTTGGTTGGGAGTGTCCCAGCACTCCACCAAGGGCTCCTCCTAGCCCCTCTGCAGCCCTCCCCATCCTCATTCGGTGCTAGAGGATGGCAGGCGGCTCTTGGAGCCAAATCCGTAAGTGGGATCTATCCTAAATCAAAGTCCAACCCTCTATGTGTGGGAAGCAGGGCCACAACTTCCTCTCAGATGCCCTCGATGAACATCTCACAGGTGCTCTGGGTGCTCCTTAGCCCACTCAAGGCCAGGACCTGGCACCCAGTGTTGCTTTTCCTCTTTCAGTCCAGCCCTGCTACCAGCCCCAGTGCTTTCAGGAGGCCATGCACAGCCCCCCTCGTGATGTTGAAGGGGCAGAAGGCAGCCAGATCTGCATGGGAAGGCCAGCCAGGCCTTCCTATTCCCTCCCACTGTCCTGCTGCAGGACATCAGGACTGACCCAATGCTGGGAACTCGGGAGGTGATTTCCCATGGAACTCATTAAAAATAAACCCCGTGACTCACAGCAGCTGCTATCAGCATCAAGCCTCAGCATGCTGGGAGAAGCCATGGCTGCGCCACAGAACAAGAGCATCAGTCCCCTCCCTTCCTGTCCCACAGGCCACTAACAGGCCACCCATCTGGGCTCTCCAGGTTCTGCTGCAGCAGGAATCCAGGGTTGGTCCCTCAGTTGGACCTGAGTTGAGCCACATGGAGGGCCCCAAACCACCTCCTGCATGCAGACCCCCCTCCAGAGCCCCTGAGAAGCCATGGGCCTTTGCCCTCCCTGCTCAGAGGTTGGGGACCAGGGAGGGTATTCACATCCTAGTAAAGCCAGCAGGCACAGAGCAGGCGCAGAGATGCCATGTGCCACCCTAGCAGCAGCCAAAACTGTAGTACTCCAATGCCTCAAGGCCCAACCGGGAGCACTATCCTTTCCCAGCTAGGAAGGGGCGTGTGCACAGCAGCTGCAGAAGCACAGAGTGCCAAGAAGGGGGCGACACAATAGGACACCAGCCCTACACACCCTGGTGCAGGGAACACACTAGCACCCATGTGTGCTGTGTGACACCCATCCACCAGCTCCAGGATCTGCCCTGCCCAGGAGGCTCCAGCTGGGACCTGACTTGCACCCTGGTGTTGAAAGGCTTCTGTCCATGGGACAAATGGCAGCAGGGAAGGAGAAAATGCCTTGTGCCATGTCAGCAGGGAGCTGGGATGAGGAAAATTAGTAGCTTTGGTAGCTCCGTGGCAGGGGAAAGCATGCCAGAAACCACAAGGCTGGGAAGGGACCAAGGGGCCCAGTCCTGCCAGCACAGGCAAACTCAGGGATTGGCACATGCCAGGGCCCCACAGGCCCTGCCCAGCTACCAGCAAATTAATAGTTCTGAGCAAACACCCACCTCAGCACACAGAGCAGCTTTGTGAAAGGGCACTGGCATGGCACCCATGGGCTTCTTCCCCACTGGTGCCCAAAACAGTGGCACTCATAGCCCTGGCATAGCAGGCAGCCCTTTCAGGAGGGCTGCAATTAGCCCTGCTCTCTGGAGTGCCTGAGCACGCAGCACACTTGGGAGGCTGAAGCTTGGCCACAGGGAAACCTTTCTGGGGACATTGCAGCTGAGCACATTGAGCACCTTCTGAGCCCCAAGGTTCACTGTCACCTTTGGAAGGAGCCATGGGGACTGTGGCTGCCTCTAGGCAGAGGAAAGCAGAAAGGACACTGGGTGATAGATTTGGCAGGGATGCAGTGCTCCTCAGGGCCACCGAAGCCTTTGCCAAAGGCTGCTGGGTGTAAGAAGGGGACCTCCCGGCAGTGACCTTCCTAGCTCAAACCTGCCCTGTCTCTGTCCCCGGGTGGCTTTGCATCCTCACTAATTAACCAGACTGAGACTTGGAGGGGCTGGGAGAAGGGAGTATTCCCAAGCCCAAGGTCAGCAGACCACAGCCTGGAGGTCAGCACAGCCTTAAGTGCTCAAATAACCCCCTGTTTCCAGACATCCACCTAAGGGCCACCCTGCAGCAGCACCCTTCCCATCCTCCACAGCTCCCTCCTCAGGCTCCTCCAAGCCCTTAGTCACTTTTATGTTGCCCTACGGGTTGATCCCAACGGTCTTCCCTGGGTGTAGGGTACAAGTTGGCAGCTGGGGAGGCAACCATGTGGCTGTCTATGGCAGGAGCTGGGAGGCAGAGGCTTCCCGGCAGCAACCAGTCCAGCCAGCACAAGGGTGAGGGGGCTGCAGGGATTGGCTCATGTCCCCCATCCTCCTTTTTCCAGTATCTCTGGGGACATCAGAGGCTGCTGCCAAGGTGTCACTTGCTGGGAGAAAGGAGGAGAAGCAAGGCAGAGTGGAGGAATTGTGAGAGCAGAGGAGCACAGAGAAAGCGGTGGGAAAGGCAGTTTTCCCTTATATGGACTAATCCTCTCCCAGCTGAGTGGAGCCAAAAACATAACCAGAAAAAAAAATTCCTTCCCTGCCTCATGTCAGCCCAGAGCAGGCTTTCCCTAGATTGTGCCGCACAGTACAGGCAGACCTGGGTCACGAGCAGTGTGGTCTCAGAAGGCAAAGGCCCAGTGGGTCAAAGAAAAAGCCCTGGGAGAAACAGTTCTTGCTGCACCTCCCTAGGCTGGCTGGAGACCCAGCACCCATTACCACTCCTGGGGCTCCACTTCAGCCCGGAGACCTCAGTTGGGACGTAGCAGAGCTGGAGCATTGTCAGGATGCGGAGAAACCCAAATCACCCATGCCCGCACCTCCGCAGGGGTGATCCGACATCACCCCACGAGGAGAAGTGGGCTCCTCAGCCCACGGGCCACGGGTAGGTCTACATGTCATCACTGAGAGCCGGCTGAGGGTGGCACAGCAGGACGTTCGGTCCAGGGCAGCCCTCGTGCCGACCCACGGCACAGCTCCCCCTCCCCGCCTGCATCTCGACTCTTTCCTGTTCCCGCAGACTGGCCTTCCTGGCTGACTCAGTTTCCTGCTGTGACCATTCCCCAGCGCTGGCCCGGGCCGCACCGGCGCAGCCTCCGGGGCAGCTAGCACAGCCCAGACCCGGGCCGGGGATCCCTGGGTGTGCCCGAAGCAGGGCAGCACGTTGTAGGGGCTTCCCGGGACACCAGCCCCGGCTGAGCAGGTCGCAGTCCAGCACCCTGAGTTCCACCTTCGGGACACCCGGGCCCTCGTCCCCATAGCCCATCGGCCCCGGCAGAGCCCTGCTCCCGCTCTGGCTCCTGGGGGAGTGCCCGGCCAGTGCTCTAGTAGCCGCCGCGCAGGAAGGGATGGGATACCTGGCCATGCGGGCAGAGCCCGGGAGGTGCGCCTGGCACCGCGCCAGCTCCAGGCAGACTAGGAGCCCGCAGCGGGAGAGCGGGGAGCAAGGAACCGAGCCGGCAGCAAGGAACGATTTCCAGGTATCCGCCAGCCGAGGAGATGGAGCTGGGAGAGGCGAGAGCGGTGGGGCCGGAGTCACCGGGGCAGTGCGAGGGCTCGTGCTGGAGCTCACCGGGGCTCGGAGCCCGGCCCGAGCCAGAGCTGGCCCCGCCGGGTGCTGCCGCCCGGGACCTCCAGCGCTACAGCCACTCCCAGACACAGCTCCAGAATCCCCCGGCCGAGCGGCAGACCGGCGGCCCAGCCAGTCCCGCTCTGCCCGCGCCTGGGACAGCCTACCCCGGCCCGGGGGGCTCAGGGAGCCGAGGCACCGCCAGGCACACACCGATCCGCCCCCGGAGCCGCCGCGAGCGCGCACCGTGCCCCGGCCCTCCCGCCGCGGGACTCACCAGCTTCCGCAGCGCTCCCTCGTCCATCCCGAGGAGACTCTCCTGGGACATCCCGCCCGCCGGGCCCGCGCTGCTGCGGCCGGGGCTCGACGGCGGCCGAGACAACAAAGGGCGTCCGGGACGGCGCGGCCCCGCGCTTGGCTCGGCGACGCTCCCGCCCAGCCCCACTCCGTTCCTGCCGCCCGCCTCGGCTCCGCTCCCCTCCCGCCCCGCCGCTTCCCACCGCCCCGCCCCGCCGCCGTCGGCCCGGCCCCGCCCCGCCGGAACTGGGGGTCCCGGTGCCCAGTCCGGCCCCAGGCCCGTGCAGGGAGCCGAGCCGAGCCGTGCCGCGCCCTGAGGCTCCGGGCTGCCTCCCGTCCCGGTCACCACGCCTGTGAAGGGGAGCTCGGGTCTGGCCCGCCTGCGGTGGCACACCCGCTGCGGGTGTATCGCTGCCCGCAGAGGTCCCCTTGGCTAGCCCGGCTGCAGTCCGGGCGCGGGGCCTTCCCGCCCACAGAAACTGCTGCACCCCTGGCTTGTGGGATGCAGGACAGAGAGCCACCAGCACCTCCTGCCCGGAGCCTTTCCCACTGCGCCCGGAGTTCACACCGTGGGGTGCCCCTGCATGCTGTGGAGGTCTATTTGATCTGCTCCCTAACATCCCGCGGGATTAATGCCCAGGGCACTCTCAGAGCCCACCTGCCAGGGGTCCCTGGGGATGTGTTGCCCCACATGGTCCCAGTGCTCGCTCCAACTCAGAAGGTGCTTGTGGTATCCCTGTCCTCCCATCCCAGATCGCAGTGCCAGGACAGCCAAGCATGGGTGTTGGGCTGTCAGGAGGATCCCATGGAAACCTCGAGCTGCAACCCTGCTCGGCAGAGGACAGACTTAATCTTGTTTCTGGGCAAAGGCCAGAAGTATTTACTGGAAGAGGACTAAGCTTCTGCTGTCACCCAGAGGTGCTTTGGGCTCTGCAAAACATACAGCTGCCAGGTGCTGCTCTCTGCCCTGACCAGAAGAGACCAAGGGACTTTCTCCAGAGGAGGTCACAGGGATTCAGTTCACTGCTCCTCTGGGAGTTCCCAGCAACCTGAGAAGATGTATGGGATGGAGCAGGACCACATCATCCCCTGACACAAGAAGGACCCAGAAAGGCCCAACAGATGGGGTGTGGTGGAGGTGCCTTGAAGGTCCAGCAGTTTCCAGAGTGTTGTTGGTTCAGATATCTCACTCCATACTGTTTGACAGGGTGGGTCTTCAGCTGCACTGGCATCCCAGAGCCCTCTGCTCCTCAGCCCTTGGCTCCTCAGCAGCTCTCCACTCTCCAGCCCTGAGTAGCATCGGGCTCCACTGGAGCATGACAGCCCATTCCCAAATAACTGCTAAAGCCAACCCCCTCCAAGCACTGTGCCCCCCAGCACAACATCACCCTCTGCCAGCCTCAGCAGCAACATTATTTCACTCGCTGGATGAGCCCTGTGCTGCTGGTCTGGGGTCTGTCCTGCCTGCAGCTCTGCCCCTCAGGGAGCAGGCACCGGCACACTTGGAGGTCTGCATCCCCTTCAGCTTTGCTGTCACATGGGAGCAGGCACCGGCACATACCCGGCTCTTGCTCATCAGGCAACACAGCTGGCAGCAGCTCTCCTGCTTTTGGAGTGTCGGGGGGACCCCACTGCCAACCTTGAGCTGGTGGAGGGACATCAGGTTTGTTTCTCAGCCCCTCCCCCAGCAGCAGTACTGGGCCTTCCCATGCAGAGCACCCAGCCACAGAAGCATGCTGAGCTGTGTGGATAAAGCAGCCTGGGGTGCTGGGTGCACAGCTTTCAGCACTTGCAGTGGCACTCATCCTGCCTCTGCTCCCACAGGTCTGCACCACTCCTGGTTCCATTCCACCCAGGTAGCGACCCTGTCATATCCTCACTGACCTACTGCCATGTGCCAGCGCAGCAGGCAGCCCCCAGCCCTGCTGCATCCACGAAGCACCCCTGGGGCTCCCCGGGGGTGAGGTGGGCATGTAGCCAGTTAAGCAGACCTCCTTATTCCATGAGGTGTAGCAAGGAGAGATTTACAAACCCCTCAGAGAGATCAGGGGCTCTGGCTCTGGGTGGCTGCCCAGTGCATTGGCATGGGGCAGGTGAGTGGGAGGTCTCACTGGCTTGCAGCAAACACAGGTGCTGTTGTGTGTTCTGTGCCAGCACAGGGGGGCACATCATCCAGATGGGATGAACCTGCACCAGGCCTGGGTGAGCGCACAGGTCCTAGAGGCTTCCCCAGCCAGGGGACCAGTGCAGCAAGGGGCAAGAGTCCTTTGGATTCCCTTTGGAGATGCTAAACATAATGTCAAATACCAATGATGGAATTTTATTGTGCAAGCATGTGTCTGGAACTGGTCTAGACACCTGTCTGACTCAGGGGTGGGACAATGTAGACAAAAGCAGGAACATGACTGTAGTGTCAGGCAGGGAGAATTCAATCTCCTTTGGGGCCTGGCCCTTCCCCTGGGCACAGCAACAGAGTGCAGGGCAGGTATTACCCTGCTGTCATGGCAGCATAGACCCACCAGTAGCACAGGGCTGCATAGGCTGCTGGAGCCTGGCACCAGGCAGAGATGAGCATCCTGGGACCCCTTTCCTTCCTTCTGGAGCTTTTGTGGTCTCATGCCTCCTCTCCTGGAAACTTCTGACACCCACAGACCTGTGTCCATCCCACTATCCCCACACCCAATACTTTGTGACCACTCCCAAAGTCACAAGTTGGCTGGACCTGGCTGGCCTCACTCCCAGAGGAAGCCAGGGAGGCAAGACCTGTCACCCTGGGAGGATGCTTGAGGCCAGGTACCAATTCCTGGCTGACAAAAGCAGCTGGATGAGCTCAGGGAGGAGGAGGAGAAAGAGGAGGGAGAGAAGAAGGAGGATAGCTCTTGGCTTCACTGCACTGTGCTGTTTACTCGTGGCCCACACACGTAAAGCCTGATGCCACCACTCCTCTGTGTGCTGACATCAGGGCAGCTCCCACAGAGCACCATGTTATTATCAACAGTGACATCACGGTGACTGAGTTTTGGACATCTCAAAACTGCTAGCCAGGGAAATCCATTGCAGAGAACCCTGGTAGTTCCCAGCTCCCTGGGGTTGCAGGGGAAGTTGGTCTCTCTGTGCCTCCTCCTCCTCTCCCTCCTGGGGATTGCGGCCTGGGTGTGAGGATGTGCCAAGGTCCTCCTGGACAGTAGGTTCCTGGGCACTATGCAGCTTGGTTAGTGCAGAAGCTGGCATGAAGGCAGGCCAGAGCAGCAGGACCTGGGGTGGATGTAGGGCTGTCCCCCCTCAGAGAGACAGCTGGACCTGCATATGGGAGCACCTCACAGAGATGAGGCAGGACAAGGGATGGGTGAAGGGCTTCCCTCAGGTGTGGAGGGAGGCTGAGCAAGGGAGAGTGGCCAGGGTGATGCATGGGAAGGTGTCCATGAAGCAGTGGGACACACAGCACAGACAGAGGTGGGAGGGCAGCAGCATGGCAGCTCTGCTGCAGCTAGACCAGCCACAGGGACCATCTGCCTGCTCAGAAGTAGTGCCACTTGCTTAGGACAGGGCACTTGTGCACAAACACGTCCCCATTTCTCAGGCATGACTCACATCCTTCTGAGAGCCAGGGCAGAACAGGTGTGATGGATTTCTCATATCCTGCTGCTCGAAGGGGCACTGGGCAGCCTCCTGACCACCCTGCAGTACAGGATGCAGCCACAGGCAGGACACTGTGTCTGTCAGGAGCAGAGGGAGCCCGGAGGCAGAGCTGTGGAGCTAGCATCTGCTCAGGACATGGCACTCCAGGCTGCAGCCTGCTCCTTGGCAGTGGAACTGGAAGTGCTTGGAAATGGTCAGGACCTTGGTGTCAGCATCTCCAGAGACCACAGGGCTGCCAGCCTGCGAGGAAGAATGGGAACCTCCTTTCTGCACTGTGTGCTGGCATTTCCAGATGGATCTGCCCATGGCAACGTGTGCCTAGGTTGAGCACATGGCCCCCATCCTGCTGCAAAGCCGCTGCCACCAGTGCCTGCAGAGGCATTCTGTGGCGTCCGAGCTTCCCACAGAGCTGCACCCCTGTCTAGCTGGCACTGCTGGGCTGCAGAGTTCCCCTCCAACCTGTCCAGACCTCCAAATATCCCTTGTCTGACTCTCCTTTCTACAATGGGTTGTACCCCTCACAAAGCATGCTGACCCCTAGGCGTCTCACCCTGCTGTGCTCTTCAGCCGGAGCAGCGTTAGGAACCAGGCCTAGGGGACCACAGCTCCTGGCCACCTAAGAAACTCCACCTGGAGCTGAAGGGGAATACCTTGTGCTTTCAGAACAGAGGAAGGCTCCAGCTCAGCCACAGCTCTGGGAGCTCACATGAAGTCCTGGCTGTGTGTGACAACAAGGGAGGCTGCTTCAGTATTTCCACAGACAGGACATTCCTGAGAGGTGACCCAACAGCACTTCCCCCTTCTGCCCTTCCAATTTCTTTGACACAGTGAGTGAACATAACTATTTCTTCTCTTTTTGAGACACCTCTAGAGCCTATAAATCACACTGTTGAGATCTGCTGTGGCCAAGAAAGGAAGGGTTTGGAAAAAGGACAGGCATTTAGGAAAGATGCCATTCCTGGTGAGTTACCCCTAAACCCCAGGCTCTAGACACCTCTAGACACTTCTCCAGGCTCAGCCTGGAGAATAGAAGGCTCTGGGGAGACCTCATTGCAGCCTTGCAGTACCTAAACAGGGTAGGTAGTGATAGGACAAGGGGAAGTGGTTTTAAACTGACAGTGGAGAGATTTAGATTAGATTAGAAGAAGATGAAATTCTCCCATGAGGGTGGTGAGGCCCTGGCACAGGTTGCCCAGAGAAGCTGTAGCTGCCCCATCCTTGGAAGGGTTCAAGGCCAGGTTGGATGGGGCTTGGAGCAATCTGGGCTGGTGGAAGGTTTCCCTGCCCATAGCAGATGAGCTTGAGGTCCCTTCTTGATGAATTATTCAGTGATTCTGTGAAACATGCCAACCCTTCCAGGGCTTTCCCAGAAGACCAAAGCAGCCATCTGCATCTCCAAGGACCCTGTCTGTCAGTTAGGGGTCTTTGGCCACCAGGATGCTGGGGGGCAGCCAAGGAATCGGTTTTCAGACTGCCCTAAAGATGGCTTCATTCATTA